AAATTCAATTTGCAGCTTTGCGAATAAAATAAAATAAATGACCCCTGGTCCCATGTGGGCTGTAGTATGAAATGATTGCGATTGTAAATTCGTGGCTTCGCCGAATGTAAACGTGCCGTTCATGCGCAAATCACGGTGCTCGTAATTAGTGCCGCAGTTAATGTTTAATTGATTATTTATGGCACTTTAAAACCGAATGAAACCATGTATAAAGTGAAGAGTACGTGAAGTAGTCACTCACCACGTAAACTGCACCCAGAGGCATGACCAGACATGCTACCATCAAATCAGCAACTGCAAGCGACACGATCAAATAGTTGGCGACATTCTGCAGGTTCCTCTCCATAAGGATGGCAGCAATAACGAAGACATTTCCTGAAATATAAAGATTTTTTATTTATTTTTATAAGATTTATGAGAAATATAAATGACAAATGTTAACAAAAACTAGTTAGCAAAATGAGAAATGTTAGCTGTCATTTAACACTTTGCTGACGAAAAGATTTGACACACTCGTTTCCAACTGTTATAAGAGAAACTAAAGAAACGTATTTTGATAACTCATACAGAACTAACTTCAGAGCTTAAAAACATAACCTCAACACGACAGCAATTTGTCATAAGAAAAGGGTAAATATTTAGTAAGTACATGTTAAAGCAATAAATGGTGACAATTGATAAATATTGATTTAAAGGTTAAGTGTTCTTTAACTTACCGATGATGGTTACTAAGATCATGAGGCCTAGAACAATGGAGAGTACTCCCATGAGGAGAATGTGGGCCAAGGGTTCACCATCTTCGTTGCCGATGAAGGTATTATTGAATGTGCCATTAACCAGAGTGTCATTAGGAACGGTCAAATTCAGAAACTTATCCGGTGATAAGCGGAGGAAGTTGCCTATGGTGCCTTCATTGAATTCCTCCAGATTTTCTACATACAACATAAAGTTCGCATTATCATGTAATCGAGGAATTGCAGATGCAAAAGCGGAAATTGTATGATGAGCGTGTCCTCTCGGAGTGCCGGAGTGCACTTAAAGGAATGTTAATCCCACAAAAACAACGGTTCCATAAACAAATACTTTGCAACGCAAATGAATGAAGGAAATTACCATGATCCTCGCTTCTCATTGTCATCGTTGCCATTTAAATGTATGCGAACTGAGCGATGCAGTTTATATTCTTTGTGGAAAGTAAGTGGCTTGAAGGAGTTTATAAGAGATGAAATGAATTTATTGTTATAGAATTTTGCATGAGCTTCGGTGGAGCTCTTTTATGTGAGAGGTAGAGAAGGAGGATGAGGATGAGGAGAAGAAGGATGATATGATGCGAGATGAAGTTGTGTGTGGGTGATCCATCAAATCTGTTTCGCGTTTAATGTTAATCCCTTTTAGGGCAGTAAAAATGTTGATGCATCGCATGAAATATTCATATGGAGAAACATAATGGAAGGGCGTAATGTTTTACGCGCCCCGGGATTCAATTTCGTGGAGAATGAGATGCGATTAAGCGGGAATGCGTCTGTGTATCCAAGGGCCGGTATTCGGCGAAAAGGAAGAGGGCACTGCGAAGGGAGTGCTTCGCTTTGAGCATGCAAAAAGCTGAGGGTTTTACCATCGGAAGTCGTGGGCTGTATCACATCGTTAACATGGAGAACGGGTGCCGTTGCGTGGTGGCCGAGGGCGTTTTTTAGCATGCTAAGGGTAGGCATGGCTCGCAGGGACTGCCTGGACCTCACGGTATCATCGTCTCAGCCCTGTAAACACACAAAACAACCAGTCAGTCGGGGTTGCGGGCAGCGGCAACGGCAGTGGCGGCCCTTTTTAATTGAATGGCGCGCCGATAAGGGCGGAAAGGGCCGCGGCCGAAAGCCAGAAGGATCCAAGATAAATAACTAACTAACTCTAACTGAGTCGGCACTCAAGTTACGCCTCCGGCAATCGATACAAGTTTAATAGCGTCACGGACCGATATAATAGCGAAAGTTGTGCCTGTCAAAACTTATTCTATTATGCAATTGTATCCAACTTCCCAATGCAATTCTCGATGCCAAATGTAACTACGCAGTATTCAGACAACGTAGACAACACGAAACATCGTGACAATCAGTGTCGACTCGTGGAAACGCACTTGACGGGTTATTACCGGAACTTTGTCAATTCCAAATATAGAAATTATTGAAGAAAATCAATGACTATAAGTTTATATTAATTAATTAAAGTTTGATTTAAATTTAAAAAAAAATCTAAATGTTATTATTGTATAAATGAAAAAGAAATTAATCGCAAATTTTATGGAATTTTTTATATACAAAATATAGAAAATAATTGAAGAAAATCAAATATTATAAGTTTACTGAATTTTTATTTAAATTTCAAGATATGTTTAACCACTATTATGATAATCGATTCCGCCAATAATACGCACTAATCAAGGATTTTGAAAATAAACACAAAAATCTATGTAGAAAAAATAATTTTGTTTACTAATTTTTTTTATTTTGTTCAATTAGAATTTACTTTGTTCTGAAATTTTCACACCGTATTATAGTGAATCCGCACAATCGAAGCCTTGTAAATTGAGTATTAAAAATTAAATCATTTGTATTGAAATTTTCACATTGAAATTTAGTGAATCAGCTTTAATCAGACCCGCACTATGTAGGTAGAGTGCGGATTTAGTAAAAATATTAAAAGAACAAAATTTACACGAATGTCAACTTTAATAATACATGTCAATATATTCAGTTCTTTAATACCATAACTGGAAAATGTTGATAACTTACAATAAGACATCCCATAAATTGTCAGATTTACAATCTTAGAGTTGTTAGTTATAAAACGGGTGAGTTTCCACATCCACATAGTAAAAACTGATTTCCTTTCTTCGAAAATATAT